CTTAGACTGGTTCTTTCATGATTCCAGCCCCAGACTGTCCCTTCCCCCAACACCCACTTCCTAGTTCCCTCGCTGCCCTCAACCGGTCAGACCGGTAGGGTCTTAGGCAGCCCACTTGCTGGGCAGTGCTCCGGACACCGGCCAGCAGGGTCACCCGCAGCCCACGCATAGCGACGAGCAAGGTACTGACACTACATCACAGAGGGAAAACGGTTTTTTTAATCAAAAACGTCTGAATTGCTGTGGGAAATGCTGCCGTCTAACTAAATTGTCCGGGGTCGGGTCAGGGCTGTTTTCAGTCAAGGAGGGCGGGGTTGTGTTGTCAATGAAACCTGAACATTGTCGAAGAAAAACGTTGACGGGTGTTTTTTCACGTGGTCAAAACCTTCTACGCCCAATGTCGGCCATCAGGGTCAGTGGGGCTCCTCCTGATTTGGGCCTGTGCCGGGCGAGATCCATCTGAACTGACTGCGCTGCTGAAAGAGGATCAGCTTTGAGCCCCGCCCCTCTGTCCTCGTCCATGATAAATCTCTCTGGCTCTGGTCAGTGAGCCCTGGTTAGGGGGCGGCTCCACGCCCAAGTGCCTCTGAGATTCAGGGCCAAGGCAGCGCAAGCCAGGGGCTGCCAGGAGCCTGAGTCTGATGTGTGTACTATTGGCACGCCAGCCTGGTCCGGTTACTGTAAACCCAGGTTTACAATGCAGCAAGGCACAGGGGCAGGCCTGGAAACACCAACTCTGCAGGCCTGGGTCCCCCCCACCCCAGTTTACAGTGCAGTGTAAACGTACCCTGACCGGTCTCCAACGAATCCTCAGAACAGACCAGTCCAGTAATCAGCTGTGCTATCGCTCCCAGCGGCTCGGATCTGAGACAGAGCTGGGGCGTGGCGGAGAACTCAGCGGGGGCCTCAACACACCGCTGGGCCCGTAGGGGGGAATCTCTGCTACTGGGCCACGCCGCGCCTCAGTTTCCCCAGAACACTCCCTTCCTAGGGCATTGTGCGGATTGCTGAGTTCATGTCTGTGCAGTGCTTTGAAAATGGAAAGTTCTACAAGTCTGCTCAGTGTTCTTGGTCTTCGTTGTTCTGCTGCCTCAGGTGACGTCTGATGGAGGAGACATCCGCGCGTAGTACTGAGCAGCGAAAGCATGGTCCTGTGGCTTAGGTATAGGACAGGACTTGGGAGATCTGGGTGACATGTCTTGTTTTGCCACTGATTTGCTCTGTGACCTCTGTCAAGTCACTTCACCTCTCTGTGATTCAGTTCTCCCTCTGTCAAATAGGCAGGATATATCTCTTCACCCACCCTTTCTCTGTCTTGCTCATTCATGAGCACCTGGGGGAAGGGGCAGTCTCTCACTGTGCGTTTGTAGCATGGGGAGGGGCATTCTATGCTGGGACTCCTACACGCTCCTATGGTATTTTTGCCCTTCGGTTCATGCTGGAACAACAGACATTCCAGCAAGCTGGTTCTGGGTTACACTAATAAATGTAGTTGCCCTCACTGCCAGGCCCCGTCCCCTGCCAGAACAAAGCGAAGAGGCCTTTGGATGAATAAGAATCGGCCCCAGTGAGTCTCCAGACACGTAAATCACCAGCAGTGATTAGGGGGAGTCTGGGAATGAGCAGTAGGCGGAGGGTCGGGTTTAGATCACCCCTGGGGTTGATCCTGCTGACAAAAGGCAGCACGTCCCTTTGCTGAGAAGGTGGAAGGAAGCCTCCCAGGGAACAAACCGTGTGTGTGTGTGTGTGTGTGTGTGTGTGTGTGTTGTCTTGTTAATAGAATAGCTCCCTGCTGGGATGTGCTGGCAGCAGTGCAGAATACAACAGTTTTAGTGGCTGTAGACAAAGTGATTTCAAAGAAGTGTTAATGACTGCATTGCTAACCGCCCCCTGCGAGTGAGTTGATGATATACCCAGCACTAACTGCCTGAGCATCCGCTTGATTTCTCGTTTATGGAGGACCCGCCCCCTCTGCACAACTGAGAGAACGGCTCAAAAAGCTACTTCTCCATTCAGGTGAGGGACTCAAAGGAGAATAGGGCCTTTTGCTTTTCTTCCAGGAGACTGGACACGTGAGGATTAAGCTTCGAGTTTAATTTACTGGACTGCAGGGCTATACCTACACTCGCAGCTTCTTGCGCGAGAAATATGCAAATGAGGCTACGCGTTGACTATCGCTGAGCCTCATTTGCATACCAAATGAGCTGCCATTTTTGCAGAAGAGGCTCTTGCGCCAGAAGAAGCGTCTACACTGCCCCTTCTTGCGCAAGAAAACCCCTCTTGCGCAAGGCCGTTACTCCGATTATTTTCAGGAATAACAATATCGCACAAGAGGGGTTTTCTTGCACAAGTAGGGGCAGCGTAGACAGCTCCTTCTGGTGCAAGAGCCTCTTCTGCAAAAATGGCGGCTCATTAGGTATGCAAATGAGGTGCGGCGATATTCCATGCTTAGCATATTTCTCGCACAAGAAGCCGCGAGTGTAGACATAGCCCAGATGCAAAACAAATCCACAGCAACCTCCCTGTTTGGTCTGACGGAGCAGCCAGGGGAGTTCCCGTGGAAGACAGAGGGCATCACGGCGGGCACAGAACACACCCAATTCCATCCA